ATCTGTTATTGAGAAATTTTACAAAAATTAATCTACTTAAAACCATTCTGCATGACAATCTTTTTCACACTTTATCAAGCATATACTGTAAAACAAGAAATGTTGGTTGTGTATAAACATTCATGGTTTTCGTGGTTGCTATTGGACCACGAAAATAAATACAACATAATTTGAATGATTAACAGAATCTTCCCCTACCTTGAGGGTGTGATAAGGAAATCTCTATCCCCAGGGGTAATGATTTTTGAGGGTTGGAGATTTCTCTGTCACACCCTCAAGGTAGGGGATGATTATTTAAACAAAAACACATGTGGGGTAAGAATATCGTCATTCACTTTTGATGACATCACAATTACTGTTGACGCATTTTAATGACGTCACAATTGAACACGTGCTAATCGGCACGAGGCTATCTCCCCCTAGGGGACGACAAGCTTATCTTTCCCGGCTAAAACGGGAGACACACCTGTGAAGGGTGGGAGAAATATGTATCTACTGTTTGTCCACGAAAGTTTGTACCACGAAAGGATCTTAATGGCTTTAAATCAAGAAGGAAAGTACCCACGAACATTTCGTGTTATGCAGTACATGTACTAGTGTAACTACACTTTGCATAGATGCCATTATTAGTTATTTTTTCATTGTACACACACCCACAAATATTGAAGGCAATTTATAAATGGCAATAATCATGCTAACATAATGATTATCACATATGAAATATGTTTTCCAGTACCTGAGTATGCAAAAGAGCGCTATCCTATTTAGGACATAGATTTAGAATGAACAGAATCTATCATATGTTGGTATAAACGATACAGAAATACCCTCATACCTACAAAATGATTTGACTCTGTTTCTCCCATCTCTTATTTAAGGAATTTGGTAAAAACAGCCTATGCAGCTATGGAATGAACATGGTAGATTTTTAGATAATTCACAAACTGAATAAATCTCTGGAAAGAGCAGAATGAAGTATTATGGTGTAACGATTAAATATTTCAAAATTTCAAAAGCAGTATGCAAAAGCTTTACTGTAAGTCGTATAAAAGCAGTCTTATCAATGTAGAGTAAGGCACCACAATAGGGCAGGATTGTTAAAAATCACATGGTTTATGAGCAAATCAATGACAGGAGTATAGAGTGAAACCTGATTTTACCGACACCTGACTTTACCGACACCTGTCTTTACTGACACTTTTCTTTCAGGTCATCTTGCATTATCTGACATGTTGTATCAGCCCAAAGCAAAGACGGGATTCTCTGTATTTCAGCTCAGACTTTTAGGACACACTGTCTTGTACAGCCAAATGCTGCTGTAAGAACAGGTTTCACTTTACATATAGTTTATATAGCAGCTCATATATATATCTCGCATATGTTCCTCATTCTGTCATATTTACAGGTTACAAGCATGACATCTATAAAGCAAAAGTTAATGTAAATTATTAATTAATTAATTAAAGTGTTAGAGACATAATGGTCATTACAACTATTTCATACTTAATAATATTTTGTACCGCCATTTACAATAAAATATTAAAAAAAAAATATAAATAAAAAATTATTATAATTGCTTTTATTAGATAATGCTAAACAAAATGAAATAAAAAAGAACACTGACTATCAAAAAATTAACAAACAGAAAAACCCACTAAAATTGAAAGGATTTACCAAGCCTTATAACCACAGGGATCACATTACACGATTTTCATGGTGATGCATTTTTGCATTAATGTGCATAAAGAATCAATCACATGTTATATTTCTTACAAATATCTTGTTCAGATACATTTGAACGAGTAACATACAGAGTTCATCGAAACTCTTTAGCGAGTTCAGGTTCTCATAAACACATAATCGGAAAAACAAATGCAAAAACAAAATAACACACAAATTAAATATTTTGCAGTAATTGAAATATGTAAATGTCATTTCAGTTGCAAAAACAAACAAGCAATCCCAGCAGAATCTTGTCTGCTAAACTAGTTTTAACCACATAAAATACCATGAAATTTCTAATAAGTGGCCCAATGGGCCTGTATTTCAATGCTCACCTGGTTGTTTGATTTCGATTGGTTTGTTTGTGTTGTACGTCCTATTAACAGCTATGGTCTTTTAAGGATGTGCCAGGTTTTGATGGTGGAGGAAAGCCGGAGTTACAGGAGAAAAACCACTGACCCATGCCTATGGCCAGTACCTGGCGACTGACCCTAGTAGGCCTCAAACCCTCGACCCAGTGGTGGAGGGCTAGTGGTAGCAGAATGTCAGACGCCTTAACCACTTGGCCACCACGGCCCCTCTTGTGATTGATCTCAAGCAATCTAATGTCTTCTCACAAAAATAGAAATCATAATCAACTGACAACTAAACAGGTTCTAGTCTCTTTTCTACAACATGGCTTGAAGAACTTGAATGTCTACCCAGATATGGGATAATAATATTAGAAATTCAAAGTATACTGGTACTCGAAAATTGAAAATCCAAACAGTTGCATACAATAATTGGTCATGAAATAAATGTTCCAAGGAAGGAAGAAAATATGAAATCATTTCAAAATCAAAAAAGCTAATAAGCTTTAATAATCAATAAACTTTGAAAGTAGAAAAATTGATTGTGATACTATATGTATGATATATCCTAACATGTATTAAAATGTAAGTTAAACTTGACAATGAAGGCCACTAAGGGCTTAGACTTGAATAAATTTAAATAAAATTTTACTGGGTCAATCAAGTATAATATCAGCACTAAGGATCTTTCAATTCACCTGATTTCTCAGTAAACAGTATGTCTATTTGTTCTTGAATTAGGAATTTAAATAGAAATGTACAATAACTTTAATCTATGAATAATGAAAGTTCAGACAAACAATTGAGTCTACGGTACAGGTGGGATACCAAACATCTATGATACTTGTGAGGAAAAAATTCTTCTGAGCATAACACCTTTTTCCGTTTCCAAAAAACAAGTCAAACTTTGACACCTATATATTCCCTGGAAAATACACCCAACACTTGTGATAGCCCTTATGGTCTCCATTTAGGACTTTGTAGGACGCTGGTCTGCCATATTGACCAGTTGGAATTCCCTCATGCTACATGGTATGTGCCAAGTTAGTGCAAATTTTGCAAAAATACATTGTACAATGCACCTTTTGAGCTTAAAGTTAGAAAAAAAGGTCGAGATGGATAACTGATAACAGACAGACGATGGACATTTCCCCATGGTAAAATCTCACTTAGCCTTGAAGGCCAAGTAGGCTAACATAGCACAGTTCACAAAAATAAAATATAAAATATCAGAGAGGCATGTAGAATTCATTCTGTAATATGTAAAAATGCTGGCCCAACATTGTATAAGATACTACAAGTCTGGAGATGTTTCACACAAAAGAGGCCATTTGTCCTTACCAAGGTATTATTTTTTTTACCTGATCTGCCAACGATAATTCCTGTCATCAATTTGATTTAATTCACTCTGGTTTATCTGAAAGTTATTTAACTTTTTCAGTAATTCTGTTGTTTGTATTATATTATATTCGATTAAAACGTTATGTAGTTTGGACAGTTTTTGCTGAACTTTTTTTTACAGGTAAGATGGGGTCATAACTAATCCTTAATTCCCAATGTTACCTGTATTTAAAACCTATATAACTTATAATATCTGGGCTAAGTAACATCATTGTCCAAAGGCTACAGCACTATTTATGTGATCCCAAACCTGGTCATTTACAAATCATGTAACATCTAGTAAATTTCATAATATCTTTAATAATATCTCATTGTTTAATGACTATTTCTTTAATATGTAACTAGAATTACAGTTAGATTACAGTTAGATTACAACAGACTGACTTGAGGTACCCCGTCATATTCTAACAATTTCATTTAAGGCTAAGGGTACCACTGCACAAGTTATAATTTTTAAGAAGAGTTCCACTCAATTTTTGACTTGGGAGTATTCTCCCTTTTATATATGATAGGATTTAATTGGATTTTATAGGATATTAGTTGGTGGACGCAGGCATAGCTGCCTCTATATCCACATCAATATAGTTTGAAATTCAATGTGGTAAAACATAAAATAGGCCTTTACATAAGGCGCTGTATGATCATACTTCAACTCAAGATCTTTTCAGAATTCATCCAAGTTTTTCTCAAAGTCAAATACATTACGAGATGAAATAACATCTTGTGGGATACTATTCCAGATATCTATTATTCTTTGATTAAAGTAATGTTTTCTAATATTTAAATGGCAATGTTGTTTGAGTATTTTCTATAAGACAGAGCAACCCAAAAAACATTTTTCTGGCTTAGAGTTATTTCCCCTGTCAATTATTTTCATGGGATTTGCAGCCAATAAATGGGCATTATTTTTCATCCTTGTAAGTTATAATTCCTAGATGGCAAAGTCCATAAAGCGTCAGCTTTATAATGTAAAAGTCCTAAGTTGGACTCCTGCTGTTTTTGTTTTTACTTCTTTTTTAAATTTTCAAATATTCAAATTTCCAACAACTGTAATTTGGTTAAAAACTTGTATGGCAATATATTCTTTTTATGGAATATTAATTTGGAAAAGGGCTGATATTAATATTTCACAATAGTGACAATGGTAATATCATAGTTTAACTTGCTGGAACCCTTAACCTTAGATGTCATTTTTCATATAATATCTTTAACACATAACTTAATTATCCCACAATAGGCTATTGTGAACAACCACATTATAAATACATTATGTATCAAAAATATGCACCGTGCTCAAAATAGCATCCACAAAAATAGTTTTGTTAAAAAAAAATCAATTTGAAAAGTCTTCTTTTTTTTTTTAAAGAATCCATAAATTCAAACCTGTTTTTAAATACCAAGGCATCATTCCACAAAATTGAGCACAGATATAAACCATACCACTACAGCAAGTCTGGTTAACAATGAAAACACAATACCAGACCTGTATCTACTAAACCAACACTTACTTTTAAAAGGGATCTTTGCTGAACTGAAAAAAGAACATTTTTTTTTTCTCTCTTCCAAATATCATTTTCAGTGTATTGTAACGTGCGGGTGGTCACCCATCCAGCTGCTGACCACGCTTGACATTGCTGAACTAGTGAGTGGGTCCCCGGGTTATACCGCATGACTGGAAAAGCTAGCTTGCCAGTAAGGCAATATTTCCCCCTCCTATTCCTTAGCTGTTATAGTATTCTATTTTTGTAGGCACTGTACACAGACTTTTATTTTTTTTAAGAGAGATGACCTATTTTCAAGAGCAATTCTTATTTGACCAGTTAATGGGGTTCGGCCTATGAAATAATGTGTAATATCCACTGAATAACAAATAAATAATCAACAAACGTGAGTCTGCAAATTCATTTGGGTAAAGAGAAAGTATCACAGGTAATTTGAGTCCCCTGTATATTACGATATAAACTTGTTTATACCATGTACCATTCTATTTGTATACCAGTAGATATCTGTCATGGTTATTATTTTTACTTTTCCAAATTGAGTCTTAAAGATCATCCATAATGTAACTATGTATATACATTTCCGTTATTATTGCTCGAAATGAATATTCAAAATGTTATTATAGAACATTAAAAATAGATTTGTTTTTTTCCTGGTGGAAACTATTCAGGGTTTTTATGTCATTTTTTCTGGCTCCAATTATGTTGTCTATAAATCGAATCTGATATAAAATCTGATTGTTGTCCAGCCTCTTGTGGGAAATGGTAAAAAATGTATCCCCACAAAATGGCTGTTCCATCACCTGGTTATTAGGGTGTCAAAAATGCAACAGGAACCAAAAATAACTCTCAAAATGCTAAAGTTGCATTTCTTGTTGTTAAGCATGTAAACGTAGAGATTAAAATGCATATTTGAACATGAGGTAAACAACAGTCACAGCCATTTTGTTCCATTTTAAACAGTCACAGCCTTCCCATTCAAAAGCTCCTTTTTTAGTTAATTTTTAATGGGAGATAAAACCAGCATTATGATTCTAACTCTACAAATGCTGCAGGAAATATTCCGCTATGACCGCCAAACTCGCCCCACCTCCAGTCTGAGGCGTCCGCCGCAAAATCACCCAACAGAACACGATCTCCGACCTTGAAAAACAAATATAAACATTACAGAGAGACTAGTATAAATTGAACATTAATGGAATCAACTCATTCACTCCTGAAATGTCATAATGAACTATTCCAACCTTTGAATTGGAGGAGTTCAAATGTGTCTTCAGGGGTGAATGAGTTAAGTACTACGAAATTATGGGATGTACCATGAAAAGTTGAAAATCCAGTCATCTTCATTTCAGTATATAAACAAACAAATAAGTTTCATACATTGCTGCCAGCCTGGAAAGTTGGACATTCAGATTAGTGACAGCTTGACTAACAAGGTTAATGTATAAGATAAGAAAGAATATAACCTTCATTTACCTTTCTGATTTGAACTACACATACTATCTAATCTATACTATCTTTGTACCATCATACTATATGTACCGGGGTAGATCAATTCAGTTGAACCAATATCAACTTTCACACTGTTTATGTGGCTGACCCGACTCAATAAAGGCATTAAGGATTTGACTGTGGATGTTTAAATTATATATTGACTGCACACATTGAGGCAAGGTAAAACATGTGTGCCCTTGCATTTTAAAGTAAACATGTCTTGAAGCATTTGAAAAATAGCATGTGCTGCTTGTTATTAGCTAGCAGAGCCAGCTTGCAGAGGAATTCATAGAGTATCAAAGCGATGAAATGCAATGAGATTAATTAAATGGTATCCTACTGTTTGTATGCTATATATAGGTCCAAATGTTCTACAACATGATATGCATATGCCAATTTTCAATGAAATATGACAAGCAGAAATGTTATGAAATGTTGATTTCCATTTCGATGATGCATCTGTAAGCGAAAACATTGAAGTTTTCGACTTCACAAACATGACAACCATATTCGATGCAATAAGGGCACTTAGGAAGTTCAATCATAAGTGGAACACCTTTAATTAGACAAAATTTTCCGCAAACAACGTATCTCATTCTTTGGCTATTTGCCCAATACAGCAGAGCCACTAAGTTAATAAAAGATTTAATTATTATGGAAGATTGTATTGACTACTGTTTCAGTAGACAATGTTCCGTGTTGGTGTTTTTCTTTTCATTCAATACACTCGTGTACAATGCTATTTTGGTTGTGAAAGTTATCTATACTTATTCACAAAACTGACCAGACATCATTTGGAAATTATGAAATCCTAAACAGATTTTTGTTTACATTATATTGGGTATGTAACTGTACCTTCAGACTGAGTTCGTTGCTTTCCATGGCATCAAATTCATACAAGGCTACTCCATATTGCACCGGAAGTTTAACATCTGCAGGTTTTTCTGGCGGTGGATTACCTAAAACAAAATAAAAAAATTATAAAGTAAAATCTAAGTTACGAAATAACATTGAATTAATAGAAAAAGAACAAAAAAAACCCCAAGTAACATAATGGTGTTACATGGTCGCATATACAAAAGTTCACTAAATATTTTTTTTTACATATACCACAACAATTAATGAATTTCTATCTTCAGGTGTCATAGTCTCTAAAAGTCTCCTGCTAGTTAAATAACATTTATGTCACCAAATTGGAAACCATAATTACCTGGACTTTTCTTTTCCATTTCTACAAAGGTTGATGGGAAAATTCCGCATTTGTTATTCAGCTTTCCTTTACACCAATCAGAACCCAGATTCTCCAGCACTAAGATTCTATCTCCTTCAGAAAAACTCAACTCGTCATCCCCTTCACCGTTAAAAGCATGAAGAGCGACACAGTATATAACATCAGACAAGGGCAGATCACTCTTTTCTTCCATTGAACTTTCAATCACTGTATTTTGTGTCACAGGTTTTACCTCTGGGTCATAAGGAGGCAGATTATTTGGAATTGAGTCAATAAAATTTGCTGGAAATTGTCCTCGCTGTTCTCCACGTTGTCCATATAGCCACTCCTCATTAACAATTCCAATGACCTTCACCATGTCTCCGACCTGGAACACACAAACATCTTCAACCTTTTAAATCCTGTTTAGCAAATTTATATTTTACAGGGTTTGTTTCTATTTTCAATAAATTATGTAAACTTGTCAGTCATATTTTCTTTTTAAGTGACAAGCACGATAATTTAGTATTACACCAGTCTATAGCCATTTCATGTATCTGGTTCAACCAGTTGAACTCGAAAGAAAACGACAGGCACAGATCTGAACCTACCCTGACATCAGGAATATTCGGAACATGTAGATTGAGGGGTCCAGACCTACCTGACTGGAACTTAAATGCTGACTATTGCTAGTTTTCCTTATTTCTTAATAAAACAAGGTCAAACCACATATAGATTTTAAGATAGGTTATATAATTTAGTGGATGAATGAAAGAAGGCCATATTATTCTTGACATATTGCTATTTATTCTCCAAAACTGCATTTTTTAGCTCTGCCTATAGTTCGGTCCAAGTGCGTTCGCTACATATTACTGCGCCACCTGAACCGTTTCACCCGGGATATGTGAATGTAACCTATAACCACGAGAAAGTGAAAGTAGCTTCCATCATAAATCTTACATTCAAAGGAAGGTCCCCTGGATCAGATCCATCAAAGTTGTACATCACCGTGGCAACATCAACCTCTGAAGATGGTTCTAGTTTTAGGTCTTCTGACAAATGACCTGGAGAATTTCCAGGAACCTCTGACATCTGTGGAGGAAGGTGCTCTGCCTCACTCGTCTTTGTTGGAAGATCCTCTATAATCTCAACATACACTAACGGAAATACTCCCTTGCAGCCATTTATCTCCCCTTCAGCCCACTCATCGCCTATCTTGTCCAGGAGACGAATATAGTCCCCTTCTTCAAACTGAAGGTCATTTTCTCCTTCACCATCAAAGTCAAACCGGGCACAACACCTGGGGCCCTGACCAATCAGATCTGGTTTTTTCAGTGACTGTGTATCATCGTCACCCCAGGCAGCAACTGGCCTGTCAGTTATATCTGGTCCTACAGGAGGAGACTGGAACATAACAAGTAAAAATCTATATCTCTAATGGAAATTATACTGATGCATCAGTTACATATAATTATTAGTATAATTAACAGCAGTTTTTTTCCAATTGATCATCATGGCAGAGTACCTGACTTTCTTGACTTGAAAAAAAGACAATATTGTATCTCATCATTGACAAACACATATACCTGCCATTTAACCCAACCTCACAGACTTCAATGATAAGGTCATATCTGTGTATATGCACATTTGAATAGAATGGAGCTTACCTAATGTCTACATTCATTCTCATAGGTTTTTACAGAAAAATCCTTCCAGTATATATACATGGTCAAAACAATCCTCATTTTATGACCTCCCCTTCGAAACCACAAGCCTCCCTTTGATAGGATCAGATTACATGGGCTAATTAACTTAAATTACAGTATTATTGTTTACATACCTGGTTGGGCAGAGGTACGACGATCTGTATAAACTCAGCGGGGAAGATGCCCTCCCGATCATCAATTTTCCCTCGCAGCCAAGATTCATCCATCTGACTCACCAACAGCACCCTCTCTGTCGCCTATGTTAAATGCACCGACTTCAGTTAGAATCCAATGAAGTTATGTTATCTCTGTAACTCATTCACCCCTGGAATTTCATTATGAACTAGTCCAACCTTTGAATTGGAAGAGTTCAAATGTGTCTTCAGGGGTGCATGAGTTAATGTACCGATTTAAAACTGTGTTCAATATAATTTTTGTCTAGAATATCAAATGTATTGACTTCATTTTAATATTAAAGCATTTACTTAATGTGGGGTTAATTATAATGAAATCACCCTGCTTGTTAAATTCATCTATTTTATATAAATCTAGAAGTACATATTCACATCCATGCAAACACATGTTGTTATTGCCGATTTCGGTCTCATCGATAGAGATTTGTAGGTACAAGCTAGGAAAATATGGAATTTACCATTGGGGTTTAATAAATGTCCGACTATTCGGTTATTGATTTTAGTAACCCAGTCACGGTCTTATGGTGTTTATAATATTGAGACTCTGACTATTCAGGGGAGGTTTCAGTTATATCAAGTCTCCCTACAAAGAGGGACTCTTCACATGGCTGTGGTCAGCTTAAATTGAAAATTAGTTATTAACCGTTAAATGAAAGACCATGCAAATGACTGCCTGTCATAAAAAATACATATATACAGTCCAGAAATATTCACACTTCACAAACAAGTTTAATATATATGTCATTGATAAACTGGATAGACAGTCAAAGTTGAATTGATTCTTGTGTAACAATTTCCTTTAGGCATCGAAAACACTTGATCAAAATGTATTTCTAGTTGACTTACTTTGAAAGAGAGGTCCCCTTCATCTACTCCATCAAAGTTATGCAGAGCTATCCCATGGGGCATCCTATCCATGTAGTGGTACAATGGGTGCCCGGGGGTTGGGCGTGTCGGAAGCCTCGGTGGCGAGGAGGACTTCCCAGCGGGAAGTGGGTGTGGCAAGCCTACAAATTAAATAACTTAAGTTACATGTAACATAATATAAATATAAAATAAAATGAAAGTAGGGAATCGGCTGTGGTAACCATATGAAATAAATAAATAAACTTAATTTGATTTGGTTTGGTTTGTTTGTGTTTTACGTCCTATTACCAGCTATGGTCATTTAAGGACAGGCCAGGTTTTGGTGACGTGGTGGAGGAAAGCGGGAGTTCCCAGAGAATAATCACCGACCTATAGCCAGTACCTGGCGACTGCCCCACATAGGTCTCAAACCGGAAACCCAGTGGTGGAGAGCTATAGTGGTAGCAGACTGTCAGATGCCTTAACCACTTGGCCACCGCTGCCCCCCCTAAATCAAATTAATTTTGCATACATATTAATAAAGTGCAAGGAGGGAAAGCTGTGACAGGCCTACAAATTTGTTATATTATGGATGTATGCTACCTTAAACATAATACACATCATTTTTGCATAAGTAATCCTCAAAACCTGTTAATTTGAATTATTCAATAACTCAAAAGTGCATCCATGTTCTCAATTTAAACAATCTGTACAATTTTTCAAATGTTTCATCAATTATAGTTATACCTAGTACAAAAAATATCTTCAGTAAATTTCTAAGTATTGAATTTTTTGAGAAAGGAGATCTGCTCATAATTAAAGCTATCATACCCCCTTAAATACAATATATGCATGAATAACCAATTTCAACTTGATGCAGTTGTTGTTGTTCTGACTGGTACCTCATTGTTTTTACCATCACTATCAACGATGCTGTCAACGCTACAATTTATGGATGTTTGTTGTTTATGGGTCAATGTCCATACAATCATTTTTGACAATGCTACGTATAATACAGATTTTTGAAAAATTGGGGACAGGTGGCAGTCACAGAAATTAATGAAACCGTTAAACAACAGTAGTTTTAACTTGGCAATTCAAATTATCAATTTTTGACTTTTTATGATAGAAAACACTTATTAGCCCCCAATAATTCCCAAAAAGCAGTTATCAGATTATTTCATCATTGATGTTGCCACTAATGGGAGGAATGGGTAAGCATGTTATCCATCCCTCCGACTTCTTGCAGTATTAATAGAGAGCTATATGGTCGAACTGTCTTGATATTTTCTGACAGTGATTTTACTGACTCAGCACATTGTGGCTTATAGTGAGCTGTTTTCAGCTGCTAGGAGTCAAGACACTGGTCATTTGCACTGTTTGCAATCATACTAAACTGTTGAATCTCATTCTGAATGAGGGTAAATACAATCTGTTACTTACTTGTATGCCTCATGGAGGCTGGTCTTGGTGGCTGTGGTTTATCTGGTCTGACACTGCTCCTGTTAACAAAATCAGAAGGTTTATTTTTCTGAATTTCTCAAAACAACAAGAGGTCCATTGGGTCTGTGACACTAATGTTGATTGCAGAATAAAATAACATGAAAAGTTTTATCAATCAAAGGATATTGTGGAGGCATCATAGACTTCAACCTATGATCCAAGTTTCTTAAATTTACAAAGCTGCTTTTATGAAAATAGATTTTTTTTAAATTTTGTAAATACATGTTAATACAATGAAGTGTGACTAAGTTTCAAAATGCCAATTATTGATCATATCTAAAAAAATGTTTTTTTTTACATTTTTCTATAATTCTTTTCTTTAGACATTTTTCTGTGAATTTGTTTTATGTGTGTTTTTAGTTTCAAATTTCATTAGTTTTGAAAACATACTGGACTTGAAAAAGTATTAAACTGTTTTTTTTTATTTCAAATAAAAAATTGACATTTCCATCTATATAAGCGTGTACCTGGTATATCATTCCAGCATTTGTCTGCTCGATAACCGAGCTACTCGATCTACGACACTAAAAATGTGCGTCAGATTTTTTGTGTTTTTATCTGGCGGTTAATTCATTAATTATTTTAGCTTTTACCTGGAGTTAACTTTACTGGGCGATGCTGCTGGTGGGCGCTTAGGGGCCAATGTTGGAGACGGTTGTCCCTCTTTTTTTCCCTTTTTGTTATCTGAAATCAGAGTGTGTTTGATTACATCAATAAAATTTCACGAAATTTGGCTGAGAACTTGATCGAGTTTTGTCTGGACCAAATTTTGTCTACAGCCAGACGGACAACCCAAATCCAGTATAATCCCTCCCCTGTCACTTCGTTGCAGGGGTTTATAAATTATTGCAGGTTAAAATCCTAAATATTGATAAGTATATAAATACTGTAAATTTACAGTTGCTAGTGTTCCCAGAAACCCCTTATTGAGGGTTTTTCACCCCCAAACAGCTAGATATACCCCAAGTTTTCATAAATTGCCCTATGTAACTAAGTATCCAGGGGTACAGAATCTTGAAAATGTATCAAATATACCCCAAATTTACAATTCAGCGTTGCTAAAACAGCTAATAAGCTATACATCCTTCAAGTTGTCAAATATTTATAGCTTCATACCCACTTCAAATCGTAACTTCTTGTATTTATTGTGTTTTTGTCAGAACCGTTCTCAAAGTTAACACTGTTCCCTGTATGGGAAGTGATTTGGTTCTGTGATTCGTTTTATCTACAACTACACCAAATCATATAAAACTAGAAATATGTCAAAATGACATGAAAGTCACCCCATCTCCTGTATGATTATTTTCAGTATAATAAATCATTGACCAAGCTACAACTGACATATTTCCACCTGTCAATCAAAATGGTCTAACAATGACCAGGTATGCATACAGGCTGTTAGGATATAATAGGAAAGCATGTGGTTGATTTACTTGAAGAAAATGTTCCATGTTTTATGACCATAAAACACAAACACTAATAGTCCCCACTGGGGTTCCCCCAGGGGTGACCAAAAAATAAAAAAAATTAAGAAACTTATAAATAACGAAGCCTTTTATCTTGTTGGTGATTTTGGGGCCAGTATCAAGGATCATGATGCAATCTTATTTCAGTATGAATTTCAAGTGTCTGTAAAATAAACAGTTCCATCATAGAATTCAGTCAAACTAAAATGAAATACTATATTTCGGGGCACTCAGCTGGAAACATTATTAAGAACTAAATTAAGAATCGGGTCAAATAATGTATCACAGCTTCATTTGGGTTTTTACTTCATTGTGATACATATTTTACATAACATTACTTAATACCCACAAGATATAAATATATAAAAATTTACTCCTTTCATACGTCATACATGCTCATACACCGACTCCCACCAAGCTGTCACACAGCCAGGACTGCAACGTCCCACCAAGCTGTCACACAGCCAGGACTGCACTGTCCCACCAAGCTGTCACACAGCCAGGACTGCACTGTCCAACCAAGCTGTCACACAGCCAGGACTGCACCGTCCCACCAAGCTGTCACACAGCCAGGACTGCACCGTCCCACCAAGCTGTCACACAGCCAGGACTGCAACGTCCAACCAAGCTGTCACACAGCCAGGACAGCATTTTATGAGAGTGAGTTTTAGTCTTCCTAGTTACTTCCCTTCATACATGCTCCTAGGCTAAGGATCCGTCCCACCAAGCTGTGGAGCTAGCCAGGACAACATGAATGAAGTTGAATAAATTAGTCATATGAAGTAAATGTGTCACAAGCTATCTCGCGCGCAACGAGGCGTCATTGAGGACATGCGCCCCTCAGATGACTTGTAGGTGACACGTCGATCTGAGATAGCCCCTTAACCCAAATATAGGCAGGATAAATCATAGTATAATGAAAATAAATAGCTAGAAACATTGCTTTGAGTCTTTTGTGTATAAACTATAAAATGTGCATAAACATGAACTGCAAAATTCCAGTTGATTTAGCACTGAGCTATATATAACTAGCAGACCACATTCAATTTGGACAAAAAGTCAAGATTTTTCTGTTTCATAAACCCAGGGCTTGTTCTTGTATCAGGTTCAACAGGAATTTCATACCCTTGATTGTATCGTCAGATTCCCCGGGGATCGTCAGCCTCTCTCTGGGTGCTGGGGGAGGGGGCCGGCCCAAGGGAGGTTTTGAAGCTGTAAATAAAAGTAAATACGAAAAACGTGAAAATGTCACAAAATAAACATTATACCCATATATATATATACATAGTCATAAAAACTTAAATGTAAAAATATGCATATGTATGTATCAATGTATCAAAATATGATCACATTACAGTAAAATCAGTTGTCGCTCCAACATGTTCTAGAACTGTAATTGACCTAATAAACAACTGCTAGCTTAAAGCTTGGCACTGATCAATTTGGAAAAATTAGATTGATCACAGAATTTTCGTAACTTCTCATATATACTTTTAGTACATTGTAGTAGCTATATATATAGCTACCTGGTAAACACATACTATTTTTAAGTAAGACAGTATATTGTGGTGAAAGGTTTGAATACTTGAACCATGAAAAAGAATAAGGTGCATTTAATGTAAAAGGGACTAGGGTATTTATTAGTTGGAATATGGTACCATTATTTCAGGAATTGGTTGTACAATTTACTGTGCATTGCCATCAGTAAGGAAGACAAAATCACCATAATAGTAAATGTCAGTACAAAGTTCATGATACACGTATATGTATAGTATTTCGAAATTTAACGGCACACATTTTTTTTCATACCTTTCAAATCCGCCAACAATGCTGATGATTCTGGATTTTACAAGCTACTGGCAAATATTTCACTGGTTTTGTTTGATTTGGTTTGTTTGTGTTTTACGTCCTATTAACAGCTATGGTCATTTAAATATAAGGACGTGGAAGATTTTGGTGGTGGAGGAAAGCCGGAGTTCCCAGAGAAAAACCACCGACCTACGGCCATTACCTAGCGACTGCCCCATGTAGGCCTCGAACCCGCGACCCAGTGGTGAAGGGCTAGTGGTAGCAGAATGTCAGATGCCTTAACCACTTGGCCATCGCAGCCCCCGCACAAATGTTTCACTGGTATTTTCATGCATGTTCATTGAAGTTAATGCATTTATTTTTTCATCAAATATCATTTCAAAACTGTTAGCAGAACAACAGTAAGGTGACAACATAAAGGAAACAGAAACGGAAGAGTGGAATATTGAAACAATAACTACAACAACTAATCACTAAGCAACATTTACTCTTTCACCACTGTAGACCATAATGGACTCATCCAGATCAATGCATGGTAGAGTCTACTAAAGTTACATAGGGGTGAAAGGGTGTTTTAAGTCATATATTTTGCATTTATTTGATCAAACTAAACATGCAGTCAAATTTTACAATAGGTACTTACTCCCTTGTGTGGCAGTGAGTTTAGGATCAAAACTTGTAGGCCTACGGGGAGGATGACCCCCTAGAGAAGGTAACAGTCTGCTGGGTTCGTCCATCCTGGATCGACTATCACACACTGCTGATTTAGGTCTCTGACTGGTATTGGGAACTTCAGGTCTGCTTGGCTTCTTTTCCTCAGGATCTTGTTTTATTATAACTGGTGGCGGAGGTCGTCCAATGATCTTTGGGCGGTGTGATCCGTGACTTTTATGATCAGGGGCCTCATGAGCGACAGAACCACGAGTTACTGGTTTAGGTCTAAACTGTTCTTTGTTTGAAACTAGATCATTTGCTTCATCTTGGCCACTACTTGGTAGACTAAATCCATGGGGAATCCCTGCTATAGATACAGGACGTTTATTGGGGAGTGGCGGTGCTTTATCGCTTCTAGTGACTAGGATATCATCAGTTGTTGCTTTCACTCGTCGTTTGACCACAACAACAGGTGCACTCTCCTCTACTTTTTCATCCTCCTTCACAATGTCTTTTTCCTCTTCATCATCATCAGATGAATGATCGCTTGATCGTTTCGGTTTTGGTGGTGCACGAATTATCGTCGGCCTTTTTGAAGGTTTTGTTGGTTGTGTCTTTGGTTTAAAAACGTCTTCCGCCATTTTCTGCACATTCTTTTCGGGACATTGCTGCGAGTTCACCAACTGTTCTGAAGATGAGGTCCCTACAGGAGAAACCACCACAGATGTAGGGGTTGATGATACAGATGATGATGGGGTTGACTCTGAAGGAGAGGTATTGCTCGGCTTGTTTGGTTTGGGGAGAACGTTTGGTTTAGGTTTTGGTGTTAAGGGAGGGGGAGGCTTTTTACCAGCTATCACAGGCACGTTCGCCTGAGAGTCTGTCTTAATTTCGAATCGCTTTACACTGTCTGCTATAGACATGGACTTCGGCCTCTCCCTGGCCATTGGTTTAGGCCTCAACATAGGTGATACACTTGATTTTTCAGTGTTCTCAATGTTTGCACTTGTATTATCTTCTTTTACATTTACATGCTCATCACCTTTCGATGTTGCCAGTTCTGTTCCAGACGATTTCTCCTCCTTTGGCTTCTGAACGTGACTTTTCTTCTGTGGTCGAATTATTGTGGGACGAAGTGGCTTTTTAAACTGTGTTTGAGCTGAAGGAATAACATCATCAGACGGTGAGTTTGATTGAGAGATTACCTCTGGTGACTTTGTAGAACACACAGATACTGGTTTTAATGCTACAAGAGGTTCCTTCTGAAGTAACGTATCACCTGATCTCTCGGAATTTGTAGCAGATGCTTCCTCCTGACTAGGTGAAGGGTTTTTATCTGATAGTGATGACGAATTCCAGGCTGCAACCCTTGGGCGGGGTGACGGAGGAGGGGCGTGAAGCGAGGTGGTTGGTGGAGGAACACGACTTGGTAACTGCTGTGGAATCAGAGGTGGTTTGCCACTAGGTCGTGTTGTAAGTTTCTCATCTCTCCTATGGTCTTCTTCCTTTTTATCAGTCCGAGGAGGTACAGGAGGTAGGTTGCGTAAATTCACCTCTAAAGTGAAATGAAAGGAAAAGTTATATGACAGTGTAAAGGTACAAACAGTGTTAAATTAACTGCATAAGGAAAAGTAAATGTGGAACTTACCGACTTAAATATCTACTGGTACATATTCTAGTTTCTCTTGACATGTCAGTCATGATTACTTGAAACTTAATTCCATAGAACAATAAAGCAAGAACAAAATGCCCAAAGGGCCTGTATCGGTGTCACAGCTTTGACGTCTTCGTTAATTTAAGACCATGGTGGCCAACTAAGATTTCTAACAGACACAATCTAAGAACAGTAACAAAAGTTGGTCAGGTTAACACCAGGAAAATCTGTACATCTGTTAAAAACGATTTGATAGAGTTGAGTGTTCGTCACAAAAATTAAAGCATTCTTCTGAAATATCCTGTTTGGTTACCATAGGTTTGGTGGAAGTTGGGAAGTTGGAATTTCAAATAGACCATTCAATTAATCATACAAAGATACATTATATTAGTCAGGCGACACAGTTTGGGAAAAACATGAAAATGTCTCGGCAAGTCAGAGGACATCGGTCCGAGGCTATAAGTCCATCAGAGGAAAAGCAGCTATACTGGATTGTCCATTGGTTTAGAAAAATAACAACATATAACCCTGACGTGAACATTTGCACAATGAAATATGAAAATTTGCCTGATGACATTTAACAAGAAGTAAAACTACATCAACCAATCAGAGGACAAGAAGGTTATTTTGAAATTTATCGGTCCAATAAAAAAACGAGTGGCCATATGGCTATGAAATATTCTTGAGGTGAGCCACAGCTGGCATTAGCATGTAAACCAACAGATGTAAATCAGCAGCTTAAAGCAGACTTTAGTGATTGATTTAGAATAATGTAACCACAAACCCTAATACAGTTATTGGTCTAGGAATGATGCTACTCCCATAACATGAGAGGCCGCTGGTCGGCCTTTTTTCAATCGGATATGATTTTGCCGTTACGCGGCGCCTGTCAATAGTTTTTCGCCGTGTAAAACCTCTAACATTGTTGGAGTAGGAATGATGCATGATACCTGGTATTAACTCATTCACCCCTGAAATTTCATAATGAACTATTCCAACCTTTGATTAGGAAGAGTTCAAATGTGTCTTCAGGGGTGAATGAGTTAAAATCCATCCATCTGTACTGAAGGAGTAATAAACTTTACCGCCAGATGGGCCACACCCAGTATTTATACAATCTTGCAATTAATTGAAGTCCTTTGATGACACAAGGATGAATGACAGATGCTGTGTTATGCTGTAGGATATCTTTACCCTTACTCATTCACCCCTGAATTTTATAATGAACTATTCCAACATTTGAATTGGAAGAGTTCAAATGTGTCTTCAGGGGTAAATGAGTTAAATAAAAAATAAAAAATATCGGTACAAAAAGGTCTTGAAACAATCAAAAGTTCAAGCTTTAGTCTGAGAACAGATTTTGATTGTTCTTACCTGTGATTGGTTTTGATTGATCAGCACTTGAAGCAGAAGACTTATTTGATTGGTTTGAATTTTGCGTCTGGTCTCGGAATCCCACCTCGCTCATTGGCCTTGCACAAACTATTGTAATCTCTGGACGCCTTAAAATATGAAGAGAAAAAATACAGCAGATGTAAACCAGTGGCTTAGAACAGACTTGACAGAATGATAATAATTTATATATACCACAATATACCCTGAATGATACTGCCATATATACAGTGTTATCTTTTATAATACAATAGTGATATTGCTTTTTTTGGTTTGTTTGTGTTGACCATAATGGACTCATCCATATCAATACATGGTAGAGTCTACTAAAGTTACATAGGGATGAAAGGGTTAACAGCTATGGTCATTTAAAGATGTGCCAGGTTTTGGTTTGGTTGATTTATTGCTAATGTATTTATAAATGATGTGTGAATATGTGAGAGACTTATTATATATATATGACATAACAGTTTATTCTGCATACTTGCCAACTTTTTGAAATTTCCATGGTGGAGATTCTGCATGCTCAAATTTTAAAATCAAAACATAAATAAAATGTGTGTATACACCCCCTAGAGACAAAACAACCTTTTAAACTGACATATTTTGAGTTGTTCATTCAGATGAAATCATTAGATCTTAGAATATAGGCACACAGTTAAACAAGTTCACTCTTTGAAAACATTAAAATTAAGAGTCCAAAATCGGGAGTCTCCCTCCTAAATAGGAAGGGTTGGCAAGTATGATTCTGTAGCATTTATATGTTTGTGAATACAGCCTCCCCCCCCCCCCCCCCCCCCCCCCCCCCCCCCCCCNTGAAGACAAACCAACCTTTTGATGGCTGTTTTGTCAAGGGATACTGAGGCTGGCCTTGGCGGGATCTTGGTCTGTTGCGCTTTCATTTTGGTGCTATCCCCCCTCATTGGCACAGGTTGAGAGCTTAGCGCTGATGTGGCTGTGAAAAATTTAAATTGATCATAATAATTACTGGACCTCTGAGTTTAAGCAAACTGCGTGAAAAACAACAAGAAATGAAACAATTTTTATTTTTATGACAAAACCAGACAGACAAGGCACTATGTGTTAACACAAGACAAGGTAATTTGGGAGAAATAAAATCAGGAAGATATTTCCTTTTTTGAGATTGAAATCAACGAGACTTTGTTGGTGTCACAATACAATGTTGTTCCTAAGATTTCAAGCCTACCCTTTGTATTTTCTTTTAACCCTTTCACCACTGTAGACCATAATGGACTCACTAAATTAAGTTACTAAGGGGTGAAAGGGTTTAACTGGTTAGACTACATATCATAAAAACAAAAAAACAAAGTCATGTTAATTTATTATTCCTTATGGCATACAGTAATGAATTTATGATAATGAAATATTTGAACTTTGTTCTATTATGATAATCTGTTTGGGAAAAGGAAAAATATGTTTCATTGGATTATTTTTTTAAGATGTTTTAAAGAAAAAAAAAAACAACTTTTATTGAAGATTTATTTTTAGCAACAACTGGTTATAGCAATAATTTTTGGAGCGCCTGTTAACGCTGGTGGAAACTACACATTACCAATGCAATGAAAAAAAGAGTTAAGTCGATTCTTTCTAGCATATATACAAAATAGGATTTATTACAATTCCTTCAATGCTATAACAGGTTATATGGTTATATGAACAATGATCATGACAGTCAATTCAAATCGCAGTCACTTATCACAAGACTGATTCTTTGGTTTTTTTAGATAGGAAACTCGAGACAGATTTAAACACAATGTTTTTATTACCAGGTGGTTTAGAAGGAGGCTTTGGGGGCACCCTTCCTCCAGGGTCAGGGGGCTTTGGAGGTGCCCTACCACCAGGAATGGACGGAGCTGGCCGGGCTGGAATCTTCGGTATGGACGAAATTGTAGGTGCATGATCAGAATCTAAAATTAACACAAAATAATCTACTTTAGCTTGGTTAAAAACACAAGTAGACATTTTTTCAGGAATTGTTTTGAAAATTCATTACATAGTACTCAAATATCCTTAGATATCTCTTAAAAAATATCACAAATACAGGACTTGCATGGTATATATGGTAGTTAAGTTATGAAGCACTGTAACTACTTGTTAGAATCATTTATGCCATCCCTATATCAATTTAATGCATAAAATTTCAAAAGGACCCAACTTAATAATTTTGCTCGAGCTTTGTAAAATGACCCATTTATCAGACATGCAATGCTAAAACTGAATTGTATGTTTTATGAGTCTTTCCATGCACTCGGATGAAAAAGTTTTTAGAGGTGCATGACGTCCTTGCACAATAAGTTGTTTCTGAGATATATTTCCTGAATAAAAATCATGTGATTTGGTGATCCCACGGTACATGTAGGGGCTGGCATGCATACTTTCGGTACAAAGGTAAATCAAAGTAAGCTAGAAAGCCAAATTGTAAGATTTGTAATTTTTGGTGAAAACAGCTGAAATTTCACATCCTTCATAGAAGGGATAACTACTAACTGGTACCTGCTTGTCTGATATGCAGTCGTGATCGGAAGTTGCAAACCAGTGTTGTTATTGAGTACTGTTTTAACTACTGTCAGAGTATTGCTGCTTACAAAAAGTACATAAAATGTATGCCCCCCCCCCCCCCTAACTTCCTCAAATTATATGACATCTGAGCCAAATCCAGATAGAAAAAGTATCATGAAAATGATCTATACCAACATTTTCGGTCAATGTGATGAAACGTCATCTGAAAATATGTGGTGATCTGCCCAAGCATTCTAAATAAAAGCGCTTAATTCACTTTCAAAAGCATGCTTAGCTTGGTAAAGAGCAATAGATTTGAAATAAATGTGTTGATTGTTTAAGATAAAGATGTATTTTACTAATTTTGAATACCCATGAAAGATTTAAGAGATATTATGAACTTCTTTTGAGAATTTAAATTATTAAACATTGATTGATTTTAATATTCATAGACTGCAGATCCATATTTATAGTGTATCTAATCATTTTATTATGAACTGACTATGATATTCTGAAATTAGGGTTGAGCTGTACGGTATAACTGCCAACTTAATCTACGGAGCATATTAATTGGACTACTCCCAATACATTTCTTCTGGGAAAATATTTTTTTCGTGTGATTAATCTTCATAAAGATAGCTTATGTAAATCTGTAGACATTTTCACCATTTTGATGACTTAACTTTTAATTTTAAATGACAGCTTACTCTCTTCACTGGTCAAATAAGTAAAGACTCGTCACTATTTAAAAGCAGTACTAACTGTCAATACTTGCCATGGCACACACATCTTTTTTTTAATAGACACGAGAACTAAACTTTCAGTGAACTTATTAATTAAGTTTAAACCAACTAATTTCGTCAGTTTATATTGTCTATTTTACTGTTCACAACAATTATGACTAAGGTATTTTCAAGATAGTAATTTCCAAGTGTCAGTAAGGATTTGTCCTAACAAGTTACCAGTGAATGAGGCCCCTTGTGGTACATCGGAAAAAGGCCTCCTTGTCGGTCGTTTGATGGGAGGCTGAGGTGCTACTCCCCCTTCCGCCATCGTAACCTTTTTTAATGACAGATGCTCGATTTTAAATTAGAGTTACCCCCCATAAAATGGAGACAAATTATCATTTACAGTTATCTCCCCTCGTCTTCTTAAACGGAAGTCAAAGAAAATATGATGTGCTACGGTAAGTGTCATTATATCTGCTTTCGAACCAAATGTTGCGCTGGAAAAAGAAAATATGTATTTTAGCCATGACTTGTATGTGTTACTTCTGACAACAGTGCTTTAATTTTGCAGAAATTCTATAGCGTTCTCCTATGTTTCAGTAGTTTATTTAAATGGGGTCTGGGACGAAATGTCTGTCTTTCTGCAGAAACATGTTCATCTGTTCATTTCACAAGTGTCGTCTGATTTTAGATTACATTTTATGACACAAATGACCTACGATCATATCATATCCCATTCGGTAGATATGTAATGTTGTTCACTTCGGCTCTACTCTTGCACATATATATTTAAATCGATGATAAAAATATGACTTGAGTTATGACACATATTATTAATAATAATAATGTTTATTCGGGTAAATCGCATGTTACAAACCGTTATTGGTAATACATGTGTTTGCTTAATAATAGCATGATTGTAGCTTTCATATATACTAATATAATACTCTCTGCAAATATTAAAAAAATCTAGATCAATATACATACTACTCTTCATTGAATATTACATTATATAAAAGTTTTAAGCCTTTTGATCACGTTATAGTCTGGACATGAGAGATAAAAAAAATAGTTTATAACAAATAGTGATAAAGCAATATCAACAAGGAACTTAGTCCGAATTATTCTGACGTTTTATCAACTTTTTTTAATCGACGACAGACCGATATGAAAAAAGTCGATATAACGTCAGAATAATTCGGACTACAAGGAACTAGGCTCCTAGTGATTGGTGGGCAACCCCTACAGATGTGTCCAGGACACCATCAGTGGGAAAAAATGTTTAATTATCATAGTGTTGTTAAATGGAAAATCAGACAGTCTGTACAGTTGTAATTAACTTAACGGGTATCAGTTAAGTAACAGCTTTCTATTTAGGTCAGGTCATGCAGTGATCACCCTGTACTAAGGTTTGGTGAGCTGTGTCCAATTGCTGGATGGATGGATGGATGACGGGTTTCGCGCCTACATGAATCCGCCCTTACGGGTTTCATCTCACTGACGGAAGTCAGTGTTCTGTCGGCGTGAGGGAAGTTGCCTTCCCTCGGGGGGTGGTTTGGAGTCGTCTATTCTATCCTATCCTTATCTTGTGGTGTAATTTGGAGACGACTCCTTGGTCCGAAATGGTGTGTCTTGCTGGATGTTGTATCTGTGATTGTTGCTCCTTACTAATGTTTTTGTGTCGTTGAGGGGACTCGAAATTGGCCAATGTGGCTTATATTAGTGTATATATGTACTTAAAAAAGAAAAAAAATATTTGTCTATTTGTAAAGTGTATTTATTGCATATATTCCTGTTCTTATAGGGAGGTATATATATTATATTTGTTATGTACCTCGGGTCTCTTACTGCCGGTTGAGCCCGACAGTAGGGAAACGTCTCTGCTTCCGTTAGGTACAGTACTTTGTTTCCTTGTCAGATTTGGCCGGAGTTTGAGATTATCCGAGGGGTCCCTATGGTGTATGCAGATATTTACCCTTTATTCTCTGGTGTATGTCTTATTTAAAAAATAAATAAAAAAATAAAATAAAAAAAGGTTATTAGTATTTGGTCTTATGGGGGGTCTTTAAGTTGTTGGGCTTATACTATATTTGTTTTATTGGAATTTTTCTTATATATAAAAAAAGGGATGGGGAGATCACCGGTCGTATCATATCATGGCATTGGTCTAGGAGGAGGGCGTATCGTATCCAAGCTGTCCGTTTTTTATATCCTACTCTATTTTTTTTTTTTTTTTTATTTTGTTCCTATATTTTGGAAGTCCGTCGAATCATCGATAATAAGTGTAATCTAATCTATCCCTATCCTCTGTGTCGGCGTTAACGCGCCTACTCTTTCGACAATACACAGAGGGATTTTTTACGTGCAGGTTGGACCCTCCTACACGGGACACCGTTTATAGTCCCCTCCGCCGGACTGTGTGTTGTTGGTGAGTGGTTAGTATCATGCAGGTGGTAGTTAATCTTGTTTTTGGCGTCCATTCTTGTATCCGTTTCCAGTCTTGCACTTGATAAAAAAAACTTTTCTTCTGTATCAATGTTCTCTTTCTTATACAACTTTCCTTTAGCTTTCTTCTGTAACTGTTCACTTTTCTGACTTTTATAATTATTTGGTGAGTATTAGTATAAGATAGTTGTTGGTGATGAGACGGAATAGGTAGGTGTGACGAGTTGTGCATTGGTGAGAGTTATCAGTAGGTAGAGGAGAGTTGAGGTTGTGCAGATATGGGGTGTTGAGAGCGGGGCGGGGGTTTGTCGGGTTTGTGCATTGGGTTTTTATTTAGAGTTTTATTAGTGCTTATATAGTTATTAGATCGTCAGTTGAAGAGGGGGAGGGGTTATGTTGTTATAATTAGATGTATTTGGTGGCTCAATGGTCGAATAGGGGTTGTTTGAAAGGAAAAAAATAAATAAAATTAAAAAAAAAAAAAAATCAGGTTCTAATGGGTATTGGATTGGAATTTATTTTATTGTGAAGGGGGTGTCATCAGGGAGCTATCGGGTTCGAGTGGTTGTTGTAAATATTTCGATCCTACCTGAGCTAGATTCTGTTCCGCTATATATGTTTGAATAAGCCGTGATAGAGGACCTGTTCGCTTTTGTAAGCTCGGTTTTGATTGGTTGTATGTCAAAAGTAGGGGGTGTTTTCTATGAGTTGGTTCGAGTGAATTTTCGATCCTACCTGAGCCGAACTGTGTGTCCAAAAAGTTTGTTATGGTTGATGATGGGAGGAGATGTGTTTGTACGTTTTTGTGGGTGTGTTTGTGAGAATGTGTGTATAGTTGTACAAGGAAACAGAGTAGAATTGTTCAAACTAACAAAAATAAAGCAGCAGGTATACCACCAGGCCTCCCCCGGGGGGGCGCAACTGCCAACTAGATGTCATATGTCATTTCTATCTGAATCCTTTTTATAGCCGTTGAAGCATTACTAACCTATGTCGATTCGGTTACATTTGTTTTAAGTATCTTTATTGCTTTGATAATGATTGGAAAGTTTGTTTCAAATATTGTAACTACCCCATGTTTTGTTGATAAATAATTAAATCTCGTTGTATCAACTGAGATTTAATTATTCCAAGAATTCCTTACCTAACGGTTTATAAGTCCAGAAGCACAGCTGGCCTTCTCCTCATACCCGCGTCAACTTAACTTAAGTCACGCCGTGTCCAATTGCAAATGACAGAGCTGTATATCATCATTGCCTCAAGACCATCATTGTGTGTACTGGGGTTTGGTGTCACTGCATGAGTCCAAATAACAAATACAGTTGTATGTCATTCACAGCTACCTCAAGTACATAGCTTCCCTACAAAGGGTTTGGGAGGGAAGATAGAAACACTGTACAGCTTTCTATCAATGCTGACCATTCAGAAATAACTTTACCCTATAGTAAGGTTGAAGCGAATGGAAATTGTATAAAAGCGACCATTAGTCAGAGAACATATTTTAGATTATTTTCTTGATGGAAATCCAGTGATTAATCTGATTAACAGGCACAAATTTTATTTTCAAAACATATTCATGTGTTATTGGCTCAGGCTTTTAGCCAGGATTTCAAATGTCCCTGTCCAAAACATTGATATTAACAAATTTTACAAAACTGTCTGTCAAAATTGATTAGTATAGTAAGGTTATGAAGTAGAAAGTTTCCTGTCCAAATAGGTTGCGTTGGCTTGATATATAAGTATAACAAATGTGCGTAAGCTCTAATTAACTCCGTTCACATCTGCTGTTTTAATTTAAAGATATAACATCAAGTTTAAACATTGAAAATTAAAAATTCAGAATGTTTTTCATATTTGGATACGAAGGAAAAAATGTACACAATTTTTTACCAATGTAATAAGGGAACACAAACATTTCATACCGCATTTTTTTTCCCCCAGTAGAGCCATTTAAAATCATTGTGGGAGATATTATTAAGAGACAAAATTTCTTGTCACACCATTTGACATGTTTACATTTAGTATACTGAACTGTAGCCTATATGCTATTGGATCTCTTCATTTTCTTTGAGTTGACATCGAAAAGTAAAAAAAATGTCATTTAATTAGCACTATAATTGAAGTCATGCAAATTTTAGAACAGCAAAAGACAAGAATATCTTCGACAATCACCTCGTTTAAGTGCCTATCCGGTCCTTGACAACACATGTTGAGTTACATAACGTATGTGATCGATGTGCTCCTGTTTTAGTTTAAAGTGTTTGTCGTTGGAACAATAATGTAATTGCACTTTTTCAGTGAAACACATTAAAATACATTTTGCACATTTTTACTTGTCTGTCAAACATTTGATGGGCTTATTTATGGTATGGGCCTATTGGAAATGTCCGTCCATCCACTCTTTGGTTTCCGCAAGATAACTTGCTTGGATATCTTTTCAATTTTGATGAAATTTGGTATTCTGGTATGCGTACATGTACATTATAAAACTGATTTTGTCTCATGACTTACGTGCGCTGTTGTAAGTTTTTAGCATTGTAAATTTAAGTATGTTTTTTTTTTCTGTCAAGTTACACATTACAAGTTATAATTAAGTACTATATGTTTTCTCCTTTCACCACGTTTCAGAAATAGCTATCAACTTCAATGAGTAATACAGTACATTTTGTTTCTTCTCACACATGCATTTCCATATTTTATTTAAAGTATGTCAGATTGGTATGGGACAGGCATATATTGTTCCAACCAACGGTACTCTTGTTATTCTTTTTTTTTTTAATTTTCATATTTAAGTTCATTTAAGAGTTTAGTATTTCTAAAATTGAAAAATTTCAACCCATATTTTATCTTTCACAATCAAAGAAAGGAGATCAAAACTGATTTTGTCTCATGCATGAGCTATATGCCATGGTGTACATGTAAGTTTCCATTATTGTACATTTTAGGATATTCTTTTTTTTTCAAATACTCCTTTACTATTGTCAAACATCACATTTAACAGTATTGCTTCTCAAAATAACTATCAAATATTGAATTTTGGGACTCGATATACAGAGCCCAAACGTGAGTGTCAACAGGACTGAGAAAAAAACTACTTTTAAAATTGATTGGCTGCTAAAAAACTCACCTGGCTTCTTTTTCGGCTTCTGACTTATTCTGGTCCAGGATGAGACTATAGCTAGTACGTATACTTCACTTATCAATATATTGGCAGATGGCAGATCAAATGGAACATACGCTAAAATTCAAGGAATATATATCTGGGGCAATGAATTCCGGTGTATGGACATATATTGCATAAGAAATTACAGCAGTATATACGTATACATTGTAGGCTATAAAAAGAAATCTAGATAATTTGATATACCTCTATACTGTGTGAGTCATGTGGTGATTATAAAACCAAAAGTAAAACACATTGAATGCATGATATCGTATGCCTTTATTTGAGCAGTTGTGACTTTATTTATATTTTTCACATTTTTTGTGTTTAAGAATTCCTTTCTTAATTGGCTGTGCTTAATTATCATATAATTATGTTACAACATGACGAACAAAATTTACCATAAATTTTAGAGTATCAATTTGATAAATTATTTTCGTGTACATGTAATAACCATGCTATATAAAACCATATAGTATACATCTATATATATTATATTCAAATCAAAGTATAGAATATATATATACTGTATATATAGTATGTAGTGAAAGGAGACATTGAAGTTGTATTGTACTGTTTGTTTATGCATGCTATATCAATTACTTTTGTTATATCATACAGTGATAAAGTAAAATACAAAAAAACATACAACTGATGTTGCTTGTGTAACAAGAGTGAGACAGGCCCAGTTGTGATTATAGTCATGCCCATTCAGGATGAAAAATATAGAAAAAAAACACACACACACAAACATTCATGACCCCTTAATCCTCCAGTGCTATATGGGCACTTTAATAATATCTTTTGTGGACATTGATTGTGAGAGTAAACTAGAAGAAAATTGGATTCTATATCCCTTACATAGATTATAAAAACAAAAAAGAATTTGGTATTAATATATAAATTACATTTATTAACAGTATCACAGGTACAGTATTAAATTTGATTACATAAAATATTAAATAAAAGATGTTCAAACTACAATATTTAACACATGTTGTGCTGATCTACAGGTGTAGGTATAGGTACAGTAACATTTGATATAAACATATGTTGTGCTGATCTACAGGTGTAGGGGTAGGTACAGTAACATTTGATATAAACACATGTTGTGCTGATCTACAGGTGTAGGTAGGTACAGTAACATTTGATATAAACACATGCATTATTATATGTATTGAAACAAGCAGTTATGTCTTTCTGATTACAGACTTCGTACAGAGGATTTTTGGCCGCCCACTTTAGAGTCGTCATGAGTTGGTCAGCAGACACAAGGCTGCGACCACAGCAAAGACTTGACACAAAATGGCTGAAGACCGACATTCAGGTATGTATATAAATGTACCGGTAGTAATCACAAAGTGGAGTGTTTTTCTCTGCTAAGGGAATGGTGTCTAGGACTTCGGAATTGTTAAGCTTCAATGTAGGTGTTGTACATTTCTATAAATGGTACATGTAATTATAAAACATTAAACAGATTCAGCCTCATAATACAGGCATGCAATTTCATTTTTGGAGTACTAGCCAAAAGCCAGAGTTTGTTAAGTTTTACAAGCCTGGGCTAGACTTTCATATTAAGCTGTGTTGAGAATTTGAAGAAAAATCATAATCAATAATCGGATTACCTCTCATGAACAGTTATCAAATATAATCGGAATAAACAAACTTCTGTGATTTCTTTTGATATATGTGTGTAATGTTGAAGTATATACTGTATACAGGGAATTTTTCACCCAAACTTTTGCCATTCACTTAGCCTTTCACAATCAATTACAATGTACTATGTTTTTGTGTGCGTATACTTATATTCACTGTAACGATAAATTTGCCCTCATTACGGAGGTCAAAAAATATAAAACTGCAGCGAAAATTCCTGGTAAACAGTAATTTAGTGCTGGGATTTGCAATGTAATTTTGCAATTTACTTTAAAAGCAAATGCTGTCCACTAGAATTCATTTTTACATACAACTAATTTAGTTTTAAAACTTATCAGAAATCCATTCAGAGTAAATTCTCATGTAATAATACCTCAGAACCATTGGTAAAGTAACATTTTAGGACGATGATAAAAGGAAAGTTACAAAAAAACCACATGAAAAAATGTCAACCAATTAATTATGGAATTTCACAATCATTTAACTCATTCACCCCTGAAAAAGACACATTTGAACTCTTCCAATTCAAAGGTTGGAATGGTTCATTATGAAACTCCAGGGGTGAATGAGTTAACTGGAATCCATTTTGTAATTGAATGATTTTCAATCAAAATTGATAATTGTAACAACACTAATAGCAAGTCTTTAAAAGTTTTATTTTCGGAATCAATCCGTGATATAAAATCTTCTAGCCCCTGAAATTTTTAATGAAAAGCAGGAAAAAATGCTACATATACAATGTACAAATACATGAATATGTTATGTAATATGGAAAATTTTGCAATTGGACCCTCAAACAACATACATGGTCAGGTGACATACGTATACATTTATCACATTAATGTACTGTACGTGTTATCCAGTAAATATACCCATGTCATTTTTTTGGCGTATTAACCCATGCAATATGACCGATCAGCCCTGTGATTGATTGGTTGTAAGTTTCAATTGTTTCAATTGTGACGTCATGTCACCTCTAGGACAAGTACATGACGTCACAGACTTGCGCACTGGAGTCAAAATGACGTCTTTTTACATTTCAAGGTTGCATGAAAATTGTCATTTTACATGAAAAAATGCCACAAATCTTGATTATGTGATAAAAAGGAACTTCCAATCATTTTCATTTCATATGAAATTTATGAAACTCGTCACAAAACACAATGGCTCGCTAAATTGAAAATTCTTAGACTCGTTTCGTACATCTCATATGAAATGGAAACTCATGTAAGATCCTATATGTATGTGCTAGCAGTGTAAATCTTCCCGATAAGAAGTGATATATGTATTGTGTTCAGAAAAAAGGTCAACTTTGAGTGCTGGACATGCCTGGTCAAAGGTTAACATTGGCTATAATAAGTATCAAATTTGATGAAAATTCAAGCAATATTGTATAAAGACCTTGATTGGGCCGGATCTTAATGAAATAGAGAGCCATCATCTATAATTTGTTCCTATAAATTACTTTAAGTGCTTTCTCACAGGTGTAAAATGTAGACTGGTATATAATTATAACGAAACTTCGAATAATTTCTTCTGTCAAATAATGAAGTCTAAACATACATAGAAGAGGGCCATTATAATTTTTTGATGAAGTTTATTTAAGAAACATTGTATTTAATGGTCTTGACCCAATTTCAAAGTCACAAGGGGGAAAGTCTAAAATCCATTACCAGTTGTATTACACAAAAATCATCGAGGTTTTCAGTATTTTAATTATCTATCTGTCAATACTGCAGCATGATGCATCCTCCAGCGAGGGTATAACTTTTAATGTTATTACTTAAACTACTGTCTATTAATCTATGACTAAGAAATTTGGCCTCCTTCCCAGTGAAGTTTAGATATTTCCCTACTCAATATTATTAATTTAATATAGAAGATTCCCAAAGCTCAAACCTAAAAAAATCTACAATTTTTATAACTTTTGGATTTTGCTTCAAGTGCTAAACATAATTTCAGTCCCTGATTTTCTATCTTGATGCTTTTGATAAGAACAAGGAGGACTTCAGGAAATCCCAGATTCTTTAAAAAAAAGAGAAGAGGAATGGCATTTAGATGCTTTGATATGTCGATCGTCTACACAACATACCCATGAGGGCTTTGTAACATGTGCAGTCCATGCTTGGCTGCAAGCTTTGTAACATTTACAGTCCATGCTTGGCTGCAAGCTTTGTAACATTTACAGTCCATGCTTGGCTGCAAGCTTTGTAACATGTACAGTCCATGCTTGGCTGCAAGATTTGTAACATTTACAGTCCATGCTTGACTACAAGCTTTGTAACATGTGCAGTCCATGCTTGGCTGCACCAATTTGTATTTATTACAAAAGCATCTGTGATATAAACATCTTCAAGATTTAAATGTTTCAAATTCTTAGAAAAATAATCATTTTGATTCATCTCTGACCCAAATTTATTTTACAGTTGTGTAGTTTATAAATCTTACATAAGAACATCTAGTTTATAAATCTTACATAAAATCACCAAAATCTGTGATAAAAATTCCACAAAAGATTCAGGCGAAAAACCAACCCTCACAAATTCAATCAAATATGCATTGCTTTTTGTTTTGTAATTTTCGATCTCAGCAGTAGACACATGGTGCTGTTGGCAGCTCTCAGATGAAGTTAGATACCTGGCACGCGACACTTCACCACTGCACATGAAAACATGCACCTGTCTATGTGATTAAGACACTTTTTCCTCTCCCAGCAGGATCTATATACCCACTATAAAAATCTTAATTATGGTAAATATTTAGATTTTCGGAGGTATATAATCTCATGCAGGGCTGCAGACTTTCATCCACATGTTCTTAGTGTTTTATATCACTGTATGGGACCCTGTGTGCGTGAGAAAAAAGTGAAAGTAGAGCAGTCCTATATCTGATATCACTGTGTGGGATCGTAAGTATGATGAGGAGCAGTGACTGGGCAATCCTCCTTCTACATGTATATATTTAGAAGCTGGGCGGAGTGAGGAACAGTGAATGAACAGTCAATCTCTCAATTCCTTGATCACTGTGGGGGACCTTGTGTATGTGTTGTATAGTGATTGAGCAGCCCTCTTACTTTAGATTGTATATGATTATGATCACTATATAGAAGTTCGGTCAGAGTGTAAAATGATCATCCAGCAGACCTCTCGTCTCTCTCTCTAATAATATCACTGCCTAGGACCTTGCGTGTGACCATGGGTGTATCACAGCAAGTGAAGTAATTATATATTTGTTGCCACTGTATGAGACCTAGTGGTTGTTATGATCACTATATGGGACCCTGTGATGTTGAGAATCACTGAAAGAGACTTTTGGTTTGAGAAGATCACTTCAGGGACCCTGAGCTAGAGAATTAATGTATGAAACTTTGTGTTTGTATGGGCCTTGCATTGTATTTTACATACTATGCCAGACCTTGTAATTGTGAGGATCACTGTATTGCACTTTGTATTTGATGAAGATCACTGTATTGGACCTTGTGTTTGATGAAGATCACTGTATTGAACCTTGTATATGATGAAGATCACTGTATGGGACTTTGTGTTTGATGAAGATCACCGATGGGACTTTGTGTTTGTGAGGATCACTGTATTAGACCTTGTGTTTGATGAAGATCACTGTATTGGACTTTGTGTTTGATGAAGATCACTGTATGAGACTTTGTGTTTGATGAAGATCGCTGTATGGGACTTTGTGTTTGATGAAGATCACTGGTTGGGACTTTGTGTTTGATGAAGATCACTGTATGGGACTTTGTGTTTGATGAAGATCACTGTATTGGACCTTGTATTTGATGAAGATCACTGTATGGGACTTTGTGTTTGATGAAGATCACTGTATTGGAACTTGTGTTTGATGAAGATCACTGTATGTGACTTTGTGTTTGATGAAGATTACTGTATTGGACCTTGTGTTTGATGAAGATCACTGTATTGGACCTTGTGTTTGATGGAGATCACTGTATGGGAATTTGTATTTGTGAGGATCATCGCATGGGACTTTGTGTTTAATGAAGATCACTGTATGTGACTCTGTGTTTGATGAAGACCACTGTATTGGACCTCGTGTTTGATGAAGATTGTGTTTGATGAAGGTTACTGTATGGGACTTTGTGTTTTATGAAGATCACTGTAGTGGACCTTGTGTTTGACGAAGATCACTGTATTGGACCTTGTGTTTGATGAAGATCACTGTATTTGACCTTGTGTTAGATGAAGATCACTGTATTGGACCTTGTGTTAGATGAAGATCACTGTATTGGACCTTGTGTTTGATGAAGATTACTGTATTGGACCTTGTGTTTGTGAGAATCACTGTATGGGACTTTGTGTTTGATGAAGATCGCTGTATGGGACTTTGTGTTTGATGAAGATCACTGGTTGGGACTTTGTGTTTGATGAAGATTACTGTATTGGACCTTGTGTTTGATGGAGATCACTGTATGGGACTTTGTGTTTGATGAAGATCACTGTATGGGACTTTGTGTTTGTGAGAATCACTGTATGGGACTTTGTGTTTGATGAAGATCACTGGTTGGGACTTTGTGTTTGATGAAGATTTCTGTATTAGACCTTGAGTTTGATGGAAATCACTGTATGGGACTTTGTATTTGATGGAGATCGCTGTATGGGAATTTGTATTTGTGAGGATCATCGCATGGGACTTTGTGTT